AAAAAAACCACTACTGCCAAAGAATTGAACTACAGCCCCCTTCCTAGAAGCTTTAACATTTTCCTTAATAGGATCACAAACCTTCCTGAAATTACCGATGACGTTTACACCTTTTGTAAACAACTCTCATGTTTTTGTATCTGTCATCTCAAACATGCAGACCCAACACGTCATTGCCTGCATGTTCATTTTATTATTGCCTTACTTTAAAGAAAAATACTACTGAGTACGAAGCAGGGGGTTCCACTGCTCTGATGATCTTGCCTAAATGTTTGCTTACATGTGGTTTCATTTTTTTTTTCCACTTGCTATTTTTGCACAAGTTTTAATACTGAACGGATCTTTTTTTTTTTTTTGTTCTTTACCTGCTTCTCCTTCTATCTGAAACACCAATGTACATGTTGTTTGGGTCACCTGGAGTGCTGAGAAATCTGCTTCTCTTTGGCTGTGTGTTCTAAAACTGCTGGTTTGAATGCTTGCACCTGAGAAAGCAAGCTGAGTCTTAACCCACAGGAGGGAGAACCGCCTTCCCTTGTGTTTGTGTTTTTGAGAAGTTCCTTGACTTTTGAGGTGTTAGAAGTCAGCTTCCCTTTGTAAACTGCCTTAATTTTTTTTTTTTTTTTTTTTTTTTTTACCATTTTGGTTCTCTCCACATGAGTGCCAGGTGTGGCATGAGGGCTGAACCTTTTAATTTGCATTAAGCAGTCCTTCCTCAAAACTTCTTTCATCCTGCATCTTAGATGTAGTCTACTCTCGAAGCAGGCCAGGGAGGCATTGCTGCCTGGAAACTGGCCTTTCAGATGATGAACACACAATACCCGTGGGTCAGAGAGAGAGGAGACCTGTGTCACCCCGCGTTTGGAAAACATGCACTTCAGACTGTTCCTCCAGCCCAGTTCCGCCATGCCTGGCTGCGCAGCGAGTCCTCCCGAGGTGTTTTCCCAGTCCTACGCCAAGTGGTACCCGTGGAACCGTCCCTGTCGTGTTTCACAGCAATAAAGAATCGCCAGCAGAGTGGTTGTACTGGGCAAGCGGGCGCCGGGCTGTGCCCTCCTGCACTGACGGCCTGGGCCGGCACCTCCTCGTTTGATCAGGATGTCACTGAAACCCCGTCACACACGTATTTAGCTTTTCTTTCTATGTGGTGTTGGAGTTGAGTTTCTACATGAATAATATAAATTATGCTCTGAGTTTGATAAGAGACACTTGTAATGCAATATGTGAATAATAAATGGTGTTGACTCTTTTTTTTTTTCTTTTCTTTTTTCTTTTCCTACTGTTTCACAGTTGGCCTTTGTAACTGCTCTTGGCTCTAGAGTGTTTTCTACACAGAAATCGTTCAGTCTGTAATTTACCACGCAGATGGAAACGCGTTTTGTTTCCATCAGCCACAAACAATGCAGAAACAGAGCGGAATGACTAGGTTCAATTAGGACTTTTTTTCATTTCCAAGTCTTCAGATGAACAATCTGTATTTATATCTTGTTCTCTATGAGCAGCTGTGGAAGCTTCCGGAATGGTGCATGTTCTTTTTGTACCACCCCTGTTGCTTTTAGCCTTGGGGGTGGATATTGGGTGTGTCCCCGTGGGCTCTTTGCAGCCCCCTGGCTGGTGAGCGTGAAGGGGAGGGAGAGGAGGAAGAGGATTTGGGCATCCCAGGGTGTTGAGCAGATGCTCTCAAGAGCCCAGGAGGCGAGTGCCCGGTACCAGGGAGTTGGTGATGGCTGGGTTTGGCCAAGTGCACGTGGCACCTCTGGCACTGTTCCCTGTTGTCTGACACAAAGCACTCCCCACAACATCCCCCTGCCGAGCTGCTTGGCTTGGGAAGAGCAGGCTGGCACCGTGATTTTCATGTCACCCTGTGCTCAGTATGGATTTACTGGAAACCTTTAGGATACAGAGACGAGGTAGTCGTGGTACAGTATTATTTCCCCCTCTGCCTGCATGCCATGGGGACCTCCTTGTTCATTTGCGTACCGGTGCTGAGGAAGGTAGGACTCAAACTGCTCAAATGGAACAATGCAGCATCTATTTATTGTTATTCCCCACCTTCCTAAAGCCAGGACTTAGAGAGCTTGAGCTCACACTAACCCAAGGCTCCGTAGTTCTTTAATGGAGAAAATAAGTAAGGAAGAAACAGATGGGTTTTGCTCTGTAGATCT